AAGACGTAAGGCCTAGTTATCTTATAGCAGTACATGTGATTTAACAGGATAAATACACAGATGGGTAACGGACATAGTGGGAAGCTGTGGTCAAGGCTCTATGCTCTATGCGTCGCAAGTTGGAAAGAGGACAAAACCCCGTAACTCAAATATGCGGGTTTGCTTCATGCATTTTAACTAGCGTAGTAGACCTTACTTACTAACCGCAATAGCAGTCAGCCCTCCGCACCCCTCCTCCACCCACAGCATATAGAAAAAGGCGGCCTATTCACTAAAACTTTTCAGAAGGCCATTCTATTCAGTGAATGTTTAGGCGCCCCTCCCCACACCCCCACCTATCTGATGTTAATAACTATTTTAGACATTTACTATAAATAATAATATAGTAGGAATAATTTTTAATAATTGGAATAATACTTTTAAAAATATCAAAGGGATATTTAAACTAAAGGATAAACATATAACAGAGAATGTATTAAATAGTGTCTCTGAACTTTTAAATATCAAGTATTGCTATGTAAAGTTTTACAGCTGCAAATAAAATGTCTCACAAAATACGTGTAAGGTGACTGGAATGCACTGTATCTCTTGTACTGTTCTGCTGGTGTTTGTACACCTAACCAGCCAGCTGGTGGCGCTAACCAGCCAACGCCCACTCTAGAAATGTTTGTAAACATTCTGAGAACACCAGCACGTGACGCGTCACATGACACGGTGAAGGTCACTCCTTCCTTAACGACAGCTGGGCTGACGATTGATTGGCTGGACATCTGACTAGTCACTGTAGGAAGAGAAGTTTAGCTTACCAGAAAGCTTAAGAGGTAACTACCTTTAAAGTAAAATAATTACAAAATAACATTATCATTGAACAATTGGTCTTTGAAAATTCATTTATATTCTAGTTCGACTTATATCAACTTAAAACTTTACTTGTATCATAAATGCTTACTTTACATACAAAGTATGAATCTTTAGTAATATTTCATTTTAAATTAATCTTTAGACTACATACATTTAAACTTAAAAAGACAGCTTTAATTTTAAATGGACCAGAGCATACCTGTTGTTAAAACACAGCTAACCAAAAGAACTACCACCATTTTGTTTTCCGACATTTTGAAACTAACAAATACAGAAAACTGACAGCGTCAAGAATATAAGTCTTCTCTTCTCTCATCCAATCAACGATCATCTAAACAGTTCAGTTCACATAACCACTAAACATATGGCTGTTACTTTTCTTAAGTATTAAATGGTGTGTGTTAAAATATTCCAAATCTTTATCATTCTGTCTTGTGTCTATACAGTTCAACTAAGTCACCATAACACGTAATACTTCGAAACAAAGTTCAAATCTAAGTTGCTGAAGTTTTATTATACGATGATAAAAATTTGAAAGTTGAACACACCGTCTTTATTATCACATATTGACTAGTTTACCAAAGTTATAAACAATCTATACAAACAAAAATAAAGTGCTATTTCAATAACATAGACTAATATTTTATTTCAAACAAAACCACAGTGAATTATTAAAACGATCCCACAATTCCACTCTCAGATCGTTCATACTTGTCAGGTCAGCTTAGAGATACAAATCGATATGTTTACACTGTAATCAATCGAACCAATGCTATCCTTACACTCAATAATTATATCGATATGTTTACGCTAAAATCAATCTAGCCAGTCGTATCATTACACACAATAATTATCTCAGTCCTCGGCTACCCAACCTCAGCACACCAATTAAATTATAGTTCTAATTTTTTACATCGTGCAGTACTACGGCTTGGGATTTATTTTATTTTTAGATTAAAAACTCACTCTGTTTATATGGGTAACTTTATTTTAAATGCAACTATTGGTTGTGTGAAAATAAGTATTGCGTTTTCGATCCAAATACATTTGAGTACATCGATATATATTGTACTACAACATAATTGGTAATAAATCTAGTGTCATTAATCAACTAAGTGAAGCATCAATATCTTTTAAAATACAACAATCAATGTGAAGAAACAATTATATTTGTTTAACATCCTTCAATAAAAGCAGCAGTTTTAGACCTATGCACACATACTTTTTTTATTAACTGACGCCCTACAACACTAAGGGTAATTTGTATAACTACCAATGGCTATATGGCCATTATATCTTTTTTGTTTACTACTTTACCCTTCAATGTCAGAGTCCCCCAATCCACCCTCTAGTGCTAAACAGCCGACTATATATATATATATATATATATATATATATATATATATATATATATATATATATATACGTATACATATACATATACCTATAAACAATTAGGGACTATTTGCATCACCACAACACCACACTGTAGTGACTTAAATCTATTGAAAAGGAAACTGAAAGTCCAACTAAGTTTCGGGAATTCCTGTAAATGATTTATCTCTGGTTCTATTGTACCCGGATGTGTGGGCGTTCACCACACAAGGGGTTGAACTATAGCCTGCATTAGAAACGTTATTTGAAACTATATGAAACATAAATTAAGTGTGTGTGTGTGTTGGGGGGGGGGGGGGGGTTCGTCGATTGGGTCTCCGACATTACTGCTGCCGGAAGTTGAGCTAGGACAATATTACACAAGTTAGTTACGGGAATATGGACGCAAACATTTTTACCATAAACAAACTCAGGAGGATACAGCAACACTGTGATCGGGTTTTTATTGGGGGTCATGGATGGTTGATAACACGCATAGGTTTACGCTGTGTAGCCTAGCTCAAAAGTTTTCAAGCGACCACCACCACACATTTCACACACCACAACCACCACCATAACAACACCACCACCACCACACCCTTCACCACACTTTTCAAACCTTTCACATATCTACACCACAACCACATCTTTCACACACACACACACACACACCCCTCAACCACCACCGCACCCTTCACATACCCTCACCACCACAACTAGAAACCCCCCACTACACCACTCTTCACTCACCCCAACCACCACCATTAACCGCACCCCCACCTTCACCACCACACCCCTACCCCACCACCACACCCCCACTACTACCACACCCTTCAAACCACCACACTTTTCAAACCTTTCGCATGTCTGCATCACCACCACATCTTTCACACACACACATACACACACACCCTATAATCCCACTCACAACTCACCAATACATTAACAGTAAACAGAACAACAAAAAGCATAGGAAAAAAATTTCATTTCACACTGTCATTCCGTTTGAACTCGCTACTATTCAAAACGAACAGCAATTTATTTTTATTGATATAGTATTTTAAGGTGCATAATGTACAATGTGCTGAATAATATTTAATTATTCACTTTTGTTAAAACAAAACAAAAAGTTGATTTAAATGTCGATGTTAATCTTACGTGTTGAGTTAACTGTGTTGTTCATCTAGACTTGAAATCTAGACTTGAAATCTAGACTTTAAATCTAGACTTGAAATCTAGACTTGAAATCTAGACTTGAAATCTAGACTTGAAATCTAGACTTGAAATCTAGACTTGAAATCTAGACTTGAAATCTAGACTTGAAATCTAGACTTGAAATTTAGACTTGAAATCTAGACTTGAAATCTAGACTTGAAATCTAGACGTGAAATCTAGACGTGAAACCTAGACTTGAAATCTAGACTTGAAACCTAGACTTGAAATCTAGACTTGAAATCTAGACTTGAAATCTAGACTTGAAATCTAGACCTGAAATCTAGACCTGAAATCTAGACCTGAAATCTAGACCTGGAATCTAGACCTGAAATCTAGACTTGAAATCTAGACTTAAAATCTAGACGTGAAATCTAGACTTGAAATCTAGACTTGAAATCTAGACGAAATCTTGACTTGAAATCTAGACTTGAAATCTAGACGTGAAATGTTGTTCATCTAGACTTAAATCTAGACTTGATATCTAGACTTGAAATCTTGACTTGAAATCTAGACTTGAAATCTAGACGTGAAATCTAAACTTAAAACCTAGACGTGAAATCTAGACGTGAAATCTAGACGTGAAATCTAGACTTGAAATCTAGACTTGAAATCTAGACGTGAAATCTAGACGTGAAATCTAGACTTGAAATCTAGACTTGAAATCTAGACTTGAAATCTAAACTTGAAATCTAGACTTGAAACCTAGTCTTGAAATCTAGACTTGAAATCTAGACTTGAAATCTAGACGTGAAATCTAGACGTGAAACCTAGACTTGAAATCTAGACTTGAAACCTAGACTTGAAATCTAGACTTGAAATCTAGACTTGAAATCTAGACTTGAAATCTAGACCTGAAATCTAGACCTGAAATCTAGACCTGAAATCTAGACCTGAAATCTAGACCTGAAATCTAGACTTGAAATCTAGACTTAAAATCTAGACGTGAAATCTAGACTTGAAATCTAGACTTGAAATCTAGACGAAATCTTGACTTGAAATCTAGACTTGAAATCTAGACTTGAAATCTAGACGTGAAATGTTGTTCATCTAGACTTAAATCTAGACTTGATATCTAGACTTGAAATCTTGACTTGAAATCTAGACTTGAAATCTAGACGTGAAATCTAGACTTAAAACCTAGACGTGAAATCTAGACGTGAAATCTAGACGTGAAATCTAGACGTGAAATCTAGACTTGAAATCTAGACGTGAAATCTAGACGTGAAATCTAGACTTGAAATCTAGACTTGAAATCTAGACTTGAAATCTAAACTTGAAATCTAGACTTAAAACCTAGACTTGAAATCTAGACTTGAAATCTAAACTTGAAATCTAGACTTAAACCTAGACTTGAAATCTAGACGTGAAATCTAGACTTGAAATCTAGACTTGAAATCTAGACTTGAAATCTAGACTTGAAACCTAGTCTTGAAATCTAGACTTGAAATCTAGACTTGAAATCTAGACTTGAAATCTTGACTTGAAATCTAGACTTGAAATCTAGACTTGAAATCTAGACGTGAAATCTAGACGTGAAATCTAGACGTGAAATCAAGACTTGAAATCTAGACGTGAAATCTAGACTTGAAATCTAGTCTTAAAACCTAGACTTGAAATGTTGTTCATCTAGTCTACCAGACTTTAAATGGAACAATCAACGTCTTTTGTACTCTCTTACAGCCTGTTTTTGAAATAATAAAAAGTGAAACTTTTATAACATCATAGTGTAACATTTAAACCGGTTTGATTGCCATAGTTTTTAATGGGAGACTTATATCTGAATGTGTGTGTAGCTACATGTTTGTGCTTTTGTCTGTCTATATTAGTTTGTGTATGTGTCCATATGTGATTGTGTCATAATCCATATTAGTTGTGTCTGTGAGTATATTAGTTTGTGTCTGTGTCTATATTAGTTTGTGTATGTGTCCATATTTGTGTCTGTGTCAATATTGTGTATGTGTCCATATTAGATTATGTCATTGTCTGTATTAGTTGTGTCTTTGTCAATATTGTGTCAATGTTCATATTAGATCGTGTCTGTGTCTATATTAATTTGTTTCTGTGTCTATATTAGTTTGTGTCATTGTCCATATTAGTTGTGTCTGTGTCAATATTGTGTCACTATCCATCTTAGATCGTGTCTGTGTCTATATTAGTTTGTGTCATTGTCCATATTAGTTGTGCCTGTGTCAATATTTGTCACTATCCATCTTAGATCGTGTCTGTGTCTATATTAGTTTGTGTCATTGTCCATATTAGTTGTGCCTGTGTCAATATTGTGTGACTATCCATCTTAGATCGTGTCTGTGTCTATATTAGTTTGTGTCATTGTCCATATTAGTTGTTCTGTATCTATATAAGTTTATGTCTGTGTCTATATTAGATTGTGTATGTGTACATATTAGATTGTGTCACTGTCCATATTAGATCGTGTCAATGTTCAGCCAAGCTAGAGTGCTCTCTCTCCTTCACCTACCCAGTTTAAAGTACACCACACACACCAGAAACATGACGTTAGCCACCACAGCAGCAGCGCCCAATACAGCGAAGGCAGCATTGCTGATACCACCGTTCACTGGTAAGTCGGAAAAAAATATTTCGTCAAACATTCTGGGTAAATAAATTTTAATTGTCACATTTTGTAATAAATAAAAACAAAGAAAGACAATGCCATTCTAGTGAATGTAAGCTATTTTAAGAGGCCCTGGTGCAAATAAATGGAAGTATTTCAACTCAGGGTAAGCGAGCTCTTTGTTGTTTTATTCTCGGACTAAAACATACTGTAGACAGTTAGACTGCTAACCCAAAAGCCTCGAGTTCGAATCCAGGTTCAAATCAATAGACCGTCACTGAGTCTACCCAGCTCTGGTGGGTACCTAACTCATGGTAGGGAAAGTAAAGCCAGCTGGACATAATGCTGACCACACTATCTTTTCATATACCGAGATCTCTGAAACAGAAGAACTCTACTTCATCTGCCCCATGTTTCTTGGGCACCAACGGGAAAGATGATGAAAACATACTGTATTGTAAAACAAAATTACAAACAACTTTAGAGTACTTATAAATAATATTAAAATGAATGCACATACAAACATACCTACATACATAATTGAGTTGCATACACATAAAGTAATATAGATATATATTTACTTCTTATTTCTAGATTTCTATTCTTAAAAAAATGTGTGTTAGGTATTTTTCAGGATGTATTTATCTGATTTTCTTTGGACAAAAAACATACCATTTGTTAGGAGTTAGGGTTAGATAAGAAAATAGATGAAACAGATGTCCTGATGACACCTACTCTCTCATCTCATAAAATTAAGCGTCTGAAAATCAGCGACAATGTAAAAACATTCAAATAACATTAGACCAAATTACCGTCAATTGTGATATGTTGATACTGGTATATAGATATTTCCTCATCTAACCAAAAGAAATACGAAGCGCCACAAATATAAAACCCGGTGTCTGCCAATTTAGGGTCGTGGACAACCATTTCTATACGCATTGTGTTCCTGTTCAGTGGTCTATCTGAGGTTCCTAGCAGACTTCCGGAGAACTCAAATGTCCAGTTCCTTGATGGCGGCGGATTCTGGTCAATTTATACATGTAAGGTAGATTTATGTGCAGACTAATATTGAATAGAGACCAGTATAATGAACTGCAATATAAACATAAGTGCCCATATCCTGCACTTAAAAGGAGAGGACCCTCAAATCACTCATACACAAACACACGCATACACACACAAGTACTCACAACCACACGTACACGTCCCCACATACACACTCACAGGAAAATTACAGGAGGCGCACACACACACACACTCACACACACACACACACACACCCGCGAAACACACACACTGACCGTAAAGTTGTACGGCGGTAAAAGACCGTATCCAGAATATTCTGTGGGCGGTGACCTCCCGTCCGTCCAACCCAAGGTCAGGCTGGAAACGGTTGAAGCTATTTCTGGAACCCCGGCACGTGATGCGTCACATGACACGGTAAAACGCCCACCTACGGCAACCACTTGTGGAGTGACAATCACGTGACTAACACCTTGGCCATCAACTGGCAGAAAAAAACTACTGACAAATAACACAGAATATAAACTAAAACGTTTCTCACATTATAACTGACCGTTAATTATCTGAATTTATGTTAAGCCTTTTTATTCAAAACAAAGGTTATTTAAATATATTTATTGGTTGCTTTCTGTAGATTTTAAATACTAAATAGAATTCCATCGTACTTAACTGAAACTCCCAAATCAAGAATACAGTTAACACTGGAAGACTAGGCATGTTTCTGCATTCAGTTTCCACCATTAGCACCTCTACACTTCAGCGTTAAAACAAAACGTTTGTCTCCCCTTTCTCAGGCCACCAAATTGAGTGTTTAGTTCTGAGAATAACATTTCGTTTTATCCTTATCACCGGATGTTGAAGGCCGATAAGAAGTGGATAGCTGGCTAGCGTATGATTTACTGCGGGCATTCAAAGGCCCGGAACTTTTATGTTGGGTACAGAGTTTTTTCATGTATCTCTTCTTTAGGGGTTAAAACAGTGTCACACCGCCCCCCACACCCCACCCCAACACGACGTCAGTACCTAAATTAAATAGAAAAATATAAAATTGATACAGAAAATGTAACCAGTGTCCGCCCTCCACCTCCGGAGAAAAATGTCTGAAAGCCACACTGGAAATTTTCACAAATGAGTGGTAGAGACGGGATTTTATTGTGTGGTTTTACTTTTCATATAGTGTAAACATGACCTTGTTTGTTTTTTTAGAAATAAAGGTTATGAAACGCTTATTGGGGAAAGTGGAATAACTCATAATCAACTAATTATTTGGGCCAAATGGGTTATAGTTTATAACTCCCCCCCCCCGCCCCATTATCAGTTTTCTCCCATTGACCACCTGTCTAACCGTATGTCTGTATGTCTATCTAATCTTCCGTATCAACGCTTTTCTTTAATGAGAAGTTACTCACGTTAGAGATTCTTTCATCAGTTAGTTAGCCAGAGTAGTGTGAGCAATACAAAGGCGACAGGTAATAGATTTCACCTGGCAATATTATCTCATTAACAGTTGCCTCCCTTTGCCGCTGGATCATCAACACATTTGGTACATAAAATCTACAGATCTGAATTTAAACTAACCGTGACTGCTTTATAAAACAATCAATTGCAATTCTAACAAAAGTCCATCAAATTTTTAAAAATCTTTTCATACGTCTTTCTTTCTAAAGTACTCAGTAAGAAATATCAAAATTAGGTATATTAATCTAATTTTATTGTTGTTTACAAAATGTCTTATAGAAATTGTTTAAATAACTGAAAAAAGCAATAGTTAAAAAGATAAAATTTTAATTTGGAACTTAGACGTCACTCTTTTTGCCCCTGTCAACTTCACCATAGTCATAAAAGCCCTCATGCATCTCTCTAAGACATGTGATTTCATTTTTATACCACCCTTCACCAACACAATTTTTTTACATATGCGACTTTAATTTCATGTACTTTGTAAAGCGGAGCAGCTCCATTAATGCCGTCAACATAATCACTCTTGCGTAGTTATATCCCTTTACGTAAGGCAGAACTCAGTTAATACGTTAAGCAGGAGTTGCATGGGGGGGGGGGGGGGGTACGGTAAAATACACAAAAAAACGCTCATGTTGTTCTTCTAACAAAAAAACATGAATATACATTTTCATGACTGTAGTGTGATGTTTTCTTTTTATGTAGTTGATTTGTGAGTTGTTAAACTACAAGCTTCTATGAACATTTCGAAAAAAGAATTTCCACATATTTCAAAACAGAAAATGGAGAATTATTAAACTCTAAATGTGTTAGATGTATATGCTTCTTTCTTTAACTTTTTAACATATTACTAGTAAGATATTCGATCTTTACCCAAAGTACTGAGCATTACATGAATTTCAATTGTAATTTCGGAGTAATTTTAATTTCGAAAAAAGAAAACAGAGAGTTGTTTATTAGTCAGAGAGAAAACAAAATGCATGGTGTTTATTGACTCATTTAAAGTGAAGGTAAATTATCGATAAAATAAATTAGGTGTGACATTTTTTGTGAGGATAAGCACTAAACGACAGTTCACAATTAATTAACCAACACACCGATATAAAAAAGAAAAGAACAAAAATTAACTCGTATTTAATTGTGTAAATATACCTATGTTTATTGTATGTGTTTGTGCTGAATGTCAAAGGGAAGGTGCGAAAATTATTGGGTTCCGTGAAAGTACACTAACTTTTAGATGAGTGAGAGAATATCTAAAAACATACACATACAATTAATACATACATTAATAATATTTATTGATCATTATAAATACATATATATATATATATATATATATACATATATATATATATATATATATATATATATATATATATATATATATATATATATATATATATATATATATATACCCCGGCTAAATGACGAACTATCTCATAAAATAAATGTTTCAAAATTATTGGGGCAGAATAGTTATCTGTGTTTGTCTTTCTTTGTCAATTTTTCTCGTCAAGTTCTTCATCTAATTTATTGCCAGTTTTTCTCTCCGTAGAAATGTTTGGTTCTGTCACATTGGCAGTATCACCAGTTGTGTCATATAGTTCCAGATAATCATTAATTACTTGAGTTGGGACAGAATAGTAATCTGTATTTATTTGTTTGTCTCCTTTTTCATCCAAGTTATTGGCATGTTTTCTCACTGAATTAATGTTGGGTTCTAAATAATCTGTCAAATTAAAAGTGTCTGCATTTGTGGCATATAGTTTCAGATAACCATCAATATCATGACTTGGCACATGATTGTAAACTGCATTCGTTTTTTTGTTAAGGTTTTCATGAAGGTTAATGTCTAGTTTCCTCTTCGAAGATAAGGATGGTTCTAAATAGTCAGTGAAATAAGCAGTAGCTCCAGTTGCTTCATATAGTTTGTTATAACCAAGCATTTCCTGAGTTGGGGCTGATTTGTAAACTTCGTTTGTTTTTTCGTCAATTTTTTCATTTAAGGTTTCTTCAAGTTTTCTCTCAGATGAAACGGCTGCTTTTAAAAAGTCTGTCGAGTCAACAGAATCATCATGTATGTCCTGTAGCTCTTTACAATCATCACTTTCGTGAGTTGGAACAAAACTGAATTCTGTGTTGTCTTTTTTGTCAAGCTTCCCATCCAGAGTATCGTTACGGTTTCTATCAGAAGCAAAGTCCAGTCTTCTCTCCAACTCAATGTGAGGTTTTCCGTCAACGATAATTTCAAAGTTTTTCGTTGAAGCTATACCAAGTTGTATATTCGAAGTAATGTGACCATTTTCTTCATCTAGGTTAATGTCACGTTTTCTTTCCGAAACATTATCGAGTGTTATATCCGTAATTGTTTCATATAGTCCATCCCTTTTCGTTTTACATTGCATTTCGCTTTCAATGTTATGTTTCATATTTGTAACACCCTTACATTCAAAACTTTCAGACACATTTACATCAGTCATTGGATTATGTCCATGTTCGTATGTGTCGTGGGGCTTTTCAACACTTGTAGCATTTTCTTTTGTTATGTCCAGGTCGTTAATAGTACTATAGGTGTTTTCTTCATACAGGTCATATACCGAAGCCTGATTTAAAGCATCACTGTAAAAGACGTTTCTAAAATTGTCCCGTATTACTGCATATCCATCATCTTCATAGCGTGTAACCAGATGTGTACTGCTGTCCATTGGTTGAGAGGTTATCCTTTCACGGCATGGTTCAGTAGAAATAACTTCATTTATTTTCATTATTTCTCGTTTTCGATACACTGGGGAAAGTAATTGAACGCTACTGGTTAATATTAAATACATAAAGCTTAATAAAATACATGTAACACATATGGTTACCAGCCAAAGGGGGATAAAACTATGAAGTTTTTATTCATTGGGTTGCGGCCTCTGTGGGACTGCAACTGAACTGTTGACGTTTTTTTATGCTTTTGTGAGCGAAATTACCTGTGTTCCATGTCATGTGACATGGGATTGTGGGTAGTTTCATGCCTAGCCGTGTCAGTCACACGCAAGCCTGCTGTCTGTGGACCAAGATGTAGACCTAATGAAGGGCTACAGTTTCTGTTTCTTTTTCTATTTTGATCTTTTGATCTTTTGATCTTTTGGTCTTTTGGATTGTTTGGATCTTTTGGTCTATCTTGGCTAGTTCGTTTTGTACTACTGTGTTGCATCGCCGTCATGGCTCGATGCTATAAATAAACGAGTACTGGACAACAACTGTCGGCGTCGGTGTGTACTTAATCTCTACTTAATACTACACCTTCATCCAATCGCCATGAAACTTTAGGAAATTGTTGAAAATACACCTGGGGAAATTTCGTTGGAAAAATCAAATTCCATGGGGGAAGTAATGTCCTTAGTGTACTTAAAAACCGCCACCAGCAGATCACTGGACTCTTTCCAAAAA